GTCTGGGCTTCTGGTAGTCATTCCTGGCATGTGGTCTTCACACCCCACCTTTGGGAGAGGAAGTGAGTGGGAGAGAAATTTAGAGTCACAGAGGGGGGAGAAGGGGAGGAGGTGTGGCCTTGGGGCAGAGTGTGGCTCTAGGGTGTTTGGAGCCAGCGGGACCCCACCGGCCCCCTTCCAGCACCCCAGCCCACCAGCAGCAGCCTTCACTGTCGTGGGAGCCTGTCTCCCTCACCCCTTGCTTTCACCTTTCTCTTTGACCCTTCACCTCTCTCCCTCCTGTATTCCTGTCCTTTTCCCCTTCCCCTTCTCTCTCTCTCTCTCTCTCTCTGTCTCCCTCTCTCTTTCTCTCTGACACACACACACACACACACACACACACACACACACACACACACACACACACTCTGACCCTGCGACTGTCTGTCAGGCTCCAGCGGAGGCGGTCTGGGGTGCAACATGCACCTCAGGTCGCACAGAGTGGGGACCGCTCCCTGAGGGTCCCTGCCTCCTGGCCTCTGGCACAGGACACATGCTCGTGGAAAACTCTCCAGGTCTCCAGAGCCTTGTTAGGGAGAGATGTGGCTCCTGGGACCCAGCCAGGAATCCCCAGGGGTGGAATGGCCCCTCTGCTCCCTGCCCTCTGCCACCCCCTTGTGTCAGCCCAGGCCTCTGTGCACAGGGAGGCATTAGGCAGCCAGCCCCCTTGCTACCCCCTGGGCACCATCCCTGTAGCCAGGAACCAGCGACAGAATGCAGATGTGAAGGCAAGACTGGCTTAGAGGAGAGCCCCAGCTACAGATGTGACCCTCAGAGACGTACACAGGCAAGCACAGAGGTGTGCGGTGTGCACCCGCAAGGGGCATGAGCGCCACGGGGTTGTGAGTATGCTCCTGGGAGAGACAGATGCCAACCCAGGGAGGGGGACCCATGCTGTGCATGCCAGTTTCTGTCGCTGTGCATACATGGGCACCTATGCCTGGGTGATCCGTTTCATCATTTGGTTAAGCCATTTCCTTGGGTGCCCGAGCCTATCTTGATCTATGGGTTGGGAGAACCCCTGTGTCCCCTAGCTCCAGGGAACTGCAGAGCCGGCCATAGCAGGAGGCTCATGTGTTGCCAAAAGACCCCCCTGGAAGTTAGAGGGTGCGTCCTCAGGGCTCAGCCCGTGGGAGTTGGCACAGCAGGGCACTGGCAGGCACCCAAGCACCCTGGTTGACTCATCTTGTGGGTGGCTCAGGCACTCCCTAACGACTCTGGCAGGCGGGCGCCTTTGTTCCTTTTCCACCACCCGCCCTGGGGACAGGAGAGAAGCCACTGCCAGACCGCTGATTGGAGGGAGGAGCAGCCAGGCAGCAAGAGGCCCCACACAGAGGTGACTTCACAAAGAGATGAGTCAAAAAGGAAAGTCCAAGAAGACCGAGGTCTGTGTAGCATTCAGAGTCCACGCAAATGGAACGCAGGGTGAGGGAAAACCTGCATCCCGAACTTCCCACGTGCCGGTCAGTCCTCACAGTGTCCGGCAGGTAGAGGCCATCCTCCTCATCTCACAGATGGGGGGACAGAGGCCTGGGGAGATGAAGTGGCTTGCCCAAGGTCACACAGCTTGTAACTGCCAGGGCTGTGATTTGAACCGATGTGGTCTAGGTTCTAGGCGCTCTGTGCTTAACCACCACACCAGACCATCTGGCTGCAGGATCGGATCTGAATGTGTGTGTCCCCCCAAACTCATATGCTGAAATCCTAGCCCCCAAGGGGGTGGGATTAGGTGGTAGGGCCTTTTGGAGGTGAGAACACAGAGAGAAGGCACCATCTGTGAACCAAGAAATGGGCCCTCACCAGAACAGAACCTGCCAGCACCTTGACCTTGGACTTCCTAGCCCCCAGAACAGTGAGAAATAAATTTCTGTTGTTTATAAACTGCCCAGCCGATGGAATTTTGTTATAGCCTCCAAATGGAGTCAGGGTTAGAAGCACAGGTTTTGAATACAGAGGAACATGGGTTCGAATTGACAAGGACACTTCCTAGTTGTGCGTCCTTGAGTACTTCAACCCATAAAGGGTTGCTGAGCACTTAGGATGTGCTAGGGGCACACAGTGGGGACAGAGATGAGTGACAGAATGTGCTCTGGGCTAAGCCCTGAGCCCGGCACTGGAATGACAGCCAAGAAGATAGAGGGTATTCTCAGAAAAACCAGCCGGCCAGAGTGCACCTGTCCTCGCTAGGGGTGCACCCAGTGAGGAGGGACTCTTCTAGCTTGGGGTGGGGTAGAACAGCTCCCTGGAGGAGGTGACAACTGTTCTGAGGGGTAAGAGTCCATCAAGGGCCTGCGGGGCAGAAGGCAGGGCAATGCAGGCTCGGGCACAGCATGGGCGGGGAAGTGAGAGACAAGTCGGAGGCGGGATGTGGAGCTCAAGAGGGGAGGTGACCAAGGGGCTTGAATGCCAAGCAGAGGACTTTGGATTTCATCCTGAACAGAGGCGTGACATGGTCAGAGAGACCATGGCACAGAAAGGTCAGAGTAGAAGGTGGCTTTGGGGCGGGCAGGGGGCCGGCAGGGAGCAGGCGGAGCAGGACACTCAGGCCTCAAAGAGGCTAGGGTGAAAGTGCCGGAAGGATGGGGAGCTGGGGTCGGGATGGCTTCAGAAGTCATTTCAGGGGCGGAGGTGGTGACCAGGCACAAGGGCGACCACTGGGTGTGGGGGCGAGGGGAAGGGAAGTCGAGGCGGGCTCCTACACGCCTGGCTTTGTGGGCTGGTCGTGCTGAAACTCCAGAGGAGAGGCAAGTTCCGTGTCGGGGGTTGTGATGGGTGCAGTTTGGGGGCTGTTGGTCTTGAGGGGCCCAAGGGCCACTCTGGTGGCTTCCATGGAGCGGTGTGATCGGAAAGCTGCATAGGGTGGCGGGAAGAGGGGCAGTTGTTCAGGAGTGGGACAAACGTTCCGGAGGCGGGTGATTCTGGAGGATGTCAAGTCCGGGGAGTAGACACGGTAACGACGGGTGGTGGCTGGGCCGGTGTGAGCAGACAGCTTCCTCCGCGACCCTGCACTGACCGCCTCAGGCTTCTGGGCCGGCACCTGCAGGTCGGAAACGCCCGGGAGGTGACACCCTGGGAGCAGCCTGCAGCCAGCGGCGGCTGGGCGTTGGTGGATAAGCGCCCTACGTCCTGCCCTCGGGCGGCTCAACTTGAGGGCATCGTCCACACCACCCCCGGATGTACCCACGGAGGTAACCTGCTCACTAACACCCTCCACCGGCTTCTTTCCCATCCTCGTCTCACCCCCACCCCACTGTGCTTCCTGGTGTCCTATATAGACTACTGGTCACGCATCTTCTTGAGCAGACACTGAACCCAAGACAGTGGCTCAAACCCTTTGTGCTTCTGTCTCCTCGTTTCCTCGCCTGCCAGTTGGGGTGCAACATGCCTGGGAGAACCGGGAGGCGACACCCACAGAGCCATGTGAGGCCGCCTGCGCCACGCCTGGCACCCCCCAGCGCTGGCTTGGCTCCCTCGCCCTGGCCCCTCTCTCATACACACAGTAGGTGTTTAATAAAAGCTCCCATCTCTTCAGGCTTCCCAGAATAGCGGAACTTTTCCTTTCTATCAAGCCCAACAGGTGAGCCAATCCTGCAGGCCGGCCACTCCTACTGCTCTTTGCTGAACATCTGCGTGGCCTCCTGGGCCTGCGGCAAAGGGCTCCCTGGGGACCTCCTGACAAAAGTGGGGGCCAGAGGCAACACGTGTTCTGGCAGATGGATATCTGGGTTCTTCCAGGGTAAATAGAAATCATGCATGTTCCTATGCGCTGTGCCAGCACCGGCTAAGACTTCCCATATATTATCTCATTTAATCCTCACAGCCAGCTGCAGGCTGCCGCTGTAGCTCCTGTGTCACAATCCAGGGAGCTGGCCTGGAACAGGTTGGGTTACTGTCCCAGGTCCCCACAGCCAGGCAGGAGTAGAACCAGGATTCAGACCTTAGTCTGTAGAAACCAGAGCCCAGGCGCCTCCCTAGGAGGGCAGGAATGTGCCATGTTGTCCCCAAGCCCCCAGGCCTGGAGCAGGCTCTGCACAGAGAAGGAGCTTAGAAATGCATGCCGGGCTGAACTGGCCCAACTGGAAAGACTCCAGAGGAAAAGAAAGGTGCTACTTCCTTTCTTGGACACTGGGCCCCTGGGGCATTTCTGCAGCTGCAGCTCTTAGCTCAGGGCCTGGCACAGGGTGATGCTCAAGCTTGGGGATCAGTACACAGGTGAACATTTCCTGTTCTTGGCCAGAATTTGCACTGTGGGCCAGATCCACGATTGCATCAGGAGTCGCACAATTCGATTTTCCAATTCTGTCATTCCTGTTGCATTCTCCCACAAACAAGGCTTCCCTCATCCGCCGTCCACAACAAACGCCTTCCCTAGCCCGCTGAGCTAAACTCTCGCGTCTGAAGGAAGCAGTCCCATTCGTCCCACTACGCTGATGCTCCTTCCAGCTCCCTCGAGGGTGGGGACAAGAGAAACCTGCAGCAAGCACCTACTGTGTGCTTTCGCCTGTGTCATCTCCTTCATTTTCTCAATGGCCCTAGCAGCGGGGCTGAAAGCCCCATTGGACAGATGAGAAGATCCAGACCCAGAGGAGGTAAAGGACTTGTTTAAGGTTACCCGGCAAGTTACAGGCTGAACCAGGATGGATCCCAGGTCTGCCTGGCCCCCAAACGTACGCCCTTTCTCCCCCACCCGATTTCTTCCCAGCCCCTGTTGCCTCCCTTCCTGATGCAGTGTGGCCAGTGCAGATCTCAGAACGTGTAAAGCTGGTGACACTGGATCCGTCACCTTAGAGTGGATGAAGGAAGCACCTGGAGATCAGCTTACTGATTCTGGGGGCCGATGAATTATTCAGACCACCATTAACTTGGAGGCTCTTTCCCCTTCACCTCCCTTTCCCCTGCTGCAGACCCTCAGCTCCTGGCTGCCCGAGCTCTGCAGACCTGTGGGGGCCCCTGGAGAGGAGATGCTGGCACAGCTGGGGGCCTGTCTGCTGCTGGCAGTGGCCCTGCTGGGCCCAGGCCCCAGGGTCCAAGCCATGGAAGGTAGGTGCTCCTGGCACAGACAGGGCCTGGCAGGAGGGGAGAGGGGAGGGGAGGGCAGCCACGGTCCCGGGAGGTTTCTATGTGGGAAGACAGGAAGCAGGAGCCCTTTTCGGGGGAGTTGACTGAGTTGAGAATGCATTTGTTTCTGAGATGGGAGAAAACAATATTTATTGAGTACCTGCTGTGTGCTAGATGTTTTACATATGTAATTGCATTCAATCTTTGCAACAAATATCAAAGGAGATATTAGTCCCCCATTTTACAGATGAGAAAACTGAGAGCCAGAGGTGTTAAGTCACCTGTCCAAGGCTGCCTGGCTCCGGGGGGTCAAGGGAATAGCCCAGAGAACTATTAAAGGTTTATTGCTAGAAGGAGTCTTTTTTTCCTCTGGCGAGCCTGCTGTCCTTCCCACTGCCACTCAAGTGAAATCAAAGTTCCTTATTATGGCATTCAGTGCCCTCTGAGTCCTGGCTCCAATTTCCATATCGGCCTCAGTTTCCCATGTCCCTTGGGCATCCCATGCTCTGTCAGGGGCATTGCAGCCCTTTCTGGAGATGCCTCACCCTCAGGGACCTTAAACCCTGCTTGCCCCTCTGCCTGGAAGGTCCCTTTTCTCTTTTTCCACCTGAGAACATCTGGCTCACCCTTTAAGCTCAGATGAAGCGCCACCTCCTCCAGGAAGCCTTCCATGTCCCTTCATCAACCTCAGAGATGCCTTCACTGGGGCTCCTAGAGCTCCCGCCTGCACTGTGGTCCCAGGTGGCTGTGAGCTGCTCTGGCCTTCTGAGCGTTGTTTGCCTGTCTGTGATCTGGGACGATGTCATTCCCCCTCCTGCAAGGGGCACGCACGAACGTGGGGGCTCAGCACACAGTCTTCAGTGTCTCACTTCCTGCAGGCTTCAGTGGAGCTCAGGGAGGAGTCGCATGTGACTCACCAGTCACCAGTCGCTGGCCGAGAGGGGATGGCGCACAGGGGTCTCAAGCCATGCCTGGGTGGGGGGAGGAGCTGGCTGTTCCTATATTCCAGCCACCAGGGCTTCTGTAGCCTTGGGGTGGCCCTGGGGTCAGCGTACCTGGCCAGGCTGTAGTGGACAAGGCCCCTGTGCAGGTGCGGGCAGCTGGGCTGCAGGAGCCCTGCTCTTCACTCTCACCGCTCCCCTGCCCCACGGGCAGGGCCCGGAAGGACAAGGACAGCCCCTGGACAGAACACCCCTTGGTCCTCTTGCCATAGAGGCACGGATGAGACGCCATTCCTGCCCTGTCCTGCAGCAGGGGCCGGGCAGGGAGTTGGCAGCCCAACCCCGGCTTGCGGCTGTGCGGCTGTGCCCGGCCTTTACCGTGTCAGCGCTCACAGCCACGCACACAGGTGTCATCGTCCCCGTCTCCCAGACTCGTGCCTGGGGTCACCGATGCTAAGCAGTCGTGCGTCTGGCCCTTGTCCACGCCATTTCCTGCCCCCAGATCTTCCCCAACTGATGAAACCACCTCATTCGTCCTAGTCAAACTCAAATGTCACCTCCTCTGCGCACCTTATCCCTCCCCTGATGCTGCCCCACCAAGGTTGGCTCCCCTCCCCCGGGCCCCAGCCCCTGTGTGGCCTCAGCACAACACACTGTGTGGCTGGGGCTCATTTGCCCGACTCCCTCCCCCACCCTGCCGCGAGCTCTCCTGGGAGGGCCGTCCGAATCGGCACAGGGCACAGGACTGGTACAGGGCACATGTTTGGCCAAAGCGTCTTCTCTTACAGGGACTTTAGTCAAGTGTATGCTTCAGGATGACTTTGGTTGCAAGTGAAACTCAACCTGGATGAGTTTCAGCAAAAAGAGGAATGCACTGGCTCTGGAGCCAGGGAGGCAGGAGTGTACCGAGCTGGGCTCAGGGATGCTGGCAGCCGGGGACCCTTAGCACCGGGGGCTTTTCCACTTTTCACATTGTTCTTCTGGTCCGAGGACAGGATTTGTCCATAAGCCCCAGCACTGTCCCACCTAGGGCTCCCAGGGGCCAGGAGGGAAAGGATTCCCGTCCAGACATTCTGGCCTAGCCCGGAGCACATGCCCACTCTGTGGGCCAGTCATGTGGAGGTGGTGGGAGCCCCACGATTGCCCGCTAGAGTCATGCGTCCACCCTGGAGCAAGGAGGAGGAGAGAGAGTTACCACATAGAGGGAAGGAAGGGAGCAGCGTCTAAAGGAAGGGTGTGTTGTTGCAGGAGGTGGAAGAAGGGGTGCTGGGTGGACCAAAGCAACAGGCGTCAGCTACGGCAAGTAACTTCCCTTTCTGGGGCTCAGTTTTCTCATCTGTGAAATGGGTCAGTAACACCTGACCTGCCTATTTCACAGGGCTGTGGTGAGGATTCTATCAGATCATTCACCCATCCACTCATTCATCCACGTAGCAAGAGTACATGGAGCACCTGCTTTGTGCCAGGTGCTGGGGACGCAGCAGGGCGCCAAACAGACCAAGCTCCTCGCTCTCACAGAGCTTCGTTTTCGTGGAGGGAGACGGACAATGAACCCAACAAACAAGTCACATAAACGGCGGGTTAGGTGGTGAGGAATGCTTATGGAGAAGAATACAGCACTAAGGGGAGAGATGGGATCTGGGGCAGGGGGAGGGGTCTCCGCTGTGAGCAGGGTGGCTAGGGACGGCCTCGCTGAGAAGGTGACCAAGAACGTGCTGGCTACTTTTTAAGGCTCTTGATTATGGAAAATTCCAAACATACGCAAAGTAAGGAAAATAGTATAATGAATCCCTGTGTCTCTACACCATCTTCAACAATGACCAACATTCTGCCGGGCTGGTTTCTTCTGCCCCACCCCATCCCCACTGGGGGAGTGTGGAGAAGTCTAAAGCCAATCTCAGATGTCGTATTATTAATATTTCCCCCATAAATATGTCAAGATGCATCTCTAACAGAGAAACACATAAAACTATATATAACCCTAATACCATTATAATGGTATAATAATTCCTTAATTTTATCTACTACTCAGTTCATGTTCCATTTTCTCCAATTATTATTTTTTTTTTTTTTGAGACAGAGTCTCACTTTGTTGCCCAGGCTAGAGTGAGTGCCGTGGCGTCAGCCTAGCTCACAGCAACCTCACACTCCTGGGCTCCAGCGATCCTTCTGCCTCAGCCTCCCGAGTAGCTGGGACTACAGGCATGCGCCACCATGCCCGGCTAATTTTTTATATACATATCAGTTGGCCAATTAATTTCTTTCTATTTATAGTAGAGACGGGGTCTCGCTCTTGCTCAGGCTGGTTTTGAACTCCTGACCTTGAGCAATCTGCCCACCTCGGCCTCCCAGAGAGCTAGGATTACAGGCGTGAGCCACCGCGCCCGGCCTTATTTTCTCCAATTATTAATACCAAAAAAAATCTTTTTACAGTTGGTTTGTTCAAATCAGAATCCAACCAAGTCCAAACACTGCATTTGGTTGATATTTGACTCTTTTAATATAACAGTTGTGCCTCCTCCCCACCCCCCATCATTTATTGTTGACACTCTAGGGTCATTTATCTTATAGAATTTCCCACGTCCTGGACTTGGCTGAAGGTTTCCTTACAGTGTTGTTTAAGCTGTTCTCTAACTTCCATGTTCACTCTAGCCTGTACACACATCCAGAGACTTCAAGAGATTCAGGTTCCTTTATTTTTATTTTTTTCCAAGAAGACTATAGGTGTTGTGTGTGCATCACATCAGGAAGGCACCTGTGCTCCACTTTGACGCTAAGATTCATCTGGGGGTTCAGGGATTCTGAGCCTGATCTATCTGTTATAAAATTCCCTATTATGTTAACTTTTTGGGTATTTTTTTAATTATAAAAATTTTCAAACATTTAGCTAAGTTGAAAGAATTGTACAGGGAATGCCTAGATACCCAACCATCTAGGTTTTTACCTCTCATCAACTTTTTACTCAGTGATTAGAACAGACTTTGAGGATGTTATCTAGATCCACTATGTCATTAGAATTTGTAAAATTATGGTTTTCTAATGCTGTTATTCTTTCTGCAATCTTCTGTAAATAACCACTTTCTCTCACCAGCTATTTATTTGGTTATCTAGAAATCCAGTCCATACAAGAAAGGCCAAGTAGATGTTTAATTTCTTTTCCTTTCTATTAATCAATTTTCAAAAAAAAAAATGACTCAGTGTCCCAGCAACCTCTCCAATTGGAACCAGCCTCTCCAAAAGGAACCAATGAGTTCCTTTTTAATTTCTTTGAGTTGCATTATGAATTCACAAGTTTTTATATATTTGATGTGTTTCAATCCACTGCAAGTGTTACTCTTTTTTGATGCTCAGATTGTACCTTCTTTAGCCAGTGGAGCCCCTACAAATAGGTTCCTGTGTCTTTTGACACAATCCCAGCAGTCTTCGATAGCTTCTTTGCTGTCTGGCATGGCAAGATATCTAAGTATATTGCGTGTATTTCCTGTCCTAGACCTGGTACCAGCTGTTTCTCTAAGGAGCCCAGATTCATTTTAGCTGGACAGAATAATCCTAAAGCCTAGGGATGTAAAATGCTGCCAGAATATCATTCCTTCCAGGCCTTTTTAGTAAACAGAGCTAGGAAATAAATATTTTTTAGAAATAAAAGTCAATCAAGTTCATATTGATACTTTCAATTCAAATTAAGAGTCACAAATGTTTTATATTTGTCTCTCTCCTACACTGAAAATCTTGATTTCTATTGACATTAACATACTTATTTGCTTTATTCCAATACATATGGTACTTGCAAAATAATAAAATTTAATATTATTACTAATAGTGAACTGAATATAGTTTAAGATTTCTTTGCAGTTCATTTTGTCCTCGAGATATATCCTACTAGGAGTGTGCAGTAAAAAAAAAAAACAAAAAACACATTTCAAAGTCATTTGAAATAATTTTTCCCCATGTAACTGTGCCTCCAACTTGATAAACAGTTAAGTTTATTCGTTTTAGTTTTGGATATTTAGGGGTCACTTTAAACTTTTTTTTTGATCTTTTAAAATTCTACAAAATTATTTCACGTGATTATGAAGTTAAAGGCACATTTAAAGAGGCCCAGTGGTCACCCGAGCTTCCTCTCCTCTTTTTACTACTTCCCCAACAGAGAATTATTCTTATTAGTTTCCTTCTATTGTTTTCTTGTGTTAAATACAAGCAAATATGTACATATAAAAATGTCCTTTTAACATTGTAATAGATATGTGTACATTTGCACTCAGAGGTTACTATTATTATTTATCTTTAAATTCCCTGTCACACATATCTGGGGCCTAGCATATAGTAATATTTTATCTAAAATTATAGGCCCAAGCCAGGAGCCATGGCTCACACCTCTAATCCCAGCACTTTGAGAGGCTGAGGCAGCAGGATTGCTTGAGCCCAGGAGTTCAAGACCAGCCTGGGCAACATAGTGAGAGCCTGTCTCCACAAAAAATTAAAAAATTAGCCGGGCATGGTGGTGCATGCTTGTACTTCCAGCTACTAAGGTGACTGGGGCTGGAGGATCCCTTTGCATAAGCCCAGGAGTTGGAGGTTGCAGGGAGCTATGATCACGCCACTGCACTTCAGCCTGGGTGACAGAGTGAGACCCTGTCTCAAAATAAAATAAAACAAAACAAAATAAAAGGCCCAACCCCCTATTTCCTTTCCCTGCTTGCTTTTTCTCCATAGCACTTATCACTATTTTATTCATTATGTATTTTACCTATTGTGTTTACCGTCTGTCTTCCCCACCAGAATGTGATTTCACGTGGGTAGGAAGCTTTGTCTGTTTTGTTCCTGCTATAACCCCAACACCTAGAGCAGTGCCTAGCACTCAAACAGTATTTGTTGAATGAGTAAAAGAATGCTCAATAAGCATTTGAAGAATAAGTAAATGCATGAACAAATTAAAAAAAAAAAATGAGCTGATGCAGGGCCATGGCCCTGTGCTCTCACCCTGTCCCAGAGACCCAGCTGTGTGGCCTTGCCACAGGTACCCACGACCCCAGCACTCGCTCTGAAGCCATCCTTCTCTCTTGCCCCAGGTGTCAAATGTGGCGGTGTGCTCTCGGCACCCTCTGGAAACTTCTCCAGCCCCAACTTCCCTAGACTATACCCCTACAACACGGAGTGCAGCTGGCTGATCGTGGTGGCTGAGGGGTCCTCCGTGCTGCTTACCTTCCATGACTTTGACCTGGAGTACCATGACACCTGCGCCTTCGACTTCCTGGAGATCTACAATGGGGCCTCAGCAGACAAGGGCAACCTGCTGGGGAGGTTCTGTGGCCGGGTGCCCCCGCCGCCCTTCACCTCCTCCTGGCACGTCATGTCTGTTGTCTTCCACTCGGATAAGCATGTGGCCAGCCGCGGCTTTTCTGCGGGCTACAAGAAAGGTCAAGGGGGGACTTGGCAGTGCAGAGCGTGGCCCTGGGGTGGAGGTGGGAGGACAGCAGTGGGCCAGGGGAGCCTGCAGGCTCCGGCATCTCGGCGCGTAGGCTGCTCTGGAAGGAACTTGCATGGCCCTGCTCTCAGGGGCGGCTTATGGGGCAAAGGCAGCTTCCTCAGTGTCCAAGACCGCTCTTGTGATCTTGTCCATTTCTCCTGGGGCCCCCAGAGGGTCTCACTGCGTTCAGGAATGAGGCCTCCCCTGCTCTTCTACCCTTGTCCTTCTTACCCCATGTCATGGCATCAGGCCCCAGGAGAGGACACACTGCTGCTGCTGCTGCTGCTGCATCTCGCTCCTTCACAGCGCTGGGGACCCCGCCCACGTCCCCTTGCACGAGGGGGTGGGGGGAGCTGGTGACTCTCGTATCATGGCTCCCTACCCCCTCCCTCTCTCCCTCAACCGGGCTTGACACCTGCTTCTCAGGCTAGTGGAGGGAACAGAGGCCTTGCTCTTCTCGCCTTTCTCCTTAACTCATTCCTCCTTGTCCTCAGGCTTCTGTGCCCAGATGCAAACCTCCTGCCTCCGCCCAAGGCCCAAAGCAAAGACCTTATTCATGTCAGCTCAAACAGTGGCTCCTGGTCCACAGAGCCCACCAACAGCACTCCTGGGGGGGACTCAGGTGGGACAGCCGGTCCCTGCTACATTTAGAAGCATAGAATTGTAGAATGCTAATGCACAAGAATCATAGGCTGATCTGATCGTGCTTTTGGAATTTTAGACTTTAGATTTTTAGAATGTTAGGATATCAAAGTTATAATATCATAGGCCTTGTTTTCCAGCATTTAAAATATAGGAATACCCTTATATCAAATGGAACCTTATGTTAACCCTGATATACAAAAGAGGTAACAGCAACGTTTTAGTGGTACGTATTTATTTTATAAGTTTATATTTTTAACATTTGCTTCTTAGAAGCTAACCACCGAAAACACAAGTCAATATTGGTCTCCAATGAGTTAAATTTTTACACATAGGAGACTGTGGGTGACTGTAGGTGCTGTCGTTTAATTACAGTAAAGGATAATTTGACTACAATGTAAGAATGCAGTTTGCCCCAGAGCTAGCAAGGTGCCCCAGGGGGCCACTGGGGCCCCAGAGCACAGCTGGGAAGCCTCTGCCAAGGCTGCCAGTGTTGGAAGGGATCTCGCAGGCTGTCTAAGCCTGCCCTCTCCTCTCACAGACATGAATCTAAGACCTGGAGAAGGAGGAGCCTTCCTAAGGTCACACAGCTGGGCCAGTGCTGGGCCAAGAAGCCAAGTCCCCAGATGCCCAGCACAGAGGTCCGGTCACACAGCCATGCCATGGGGTGAGATTCTGGAGTCCTGAGTGCACCCTCCCTGCTGGGGACCTCCAGCAAGTCACCTGAGTCACAGTTGCATTGGCCAAGCTGGCCCCTAATCACTTTCAGCAGTGTCTTCTCAGCCTCCATGTGAGTCTGAGCCCAGTGGATCAGGCTGGGCAGTTCTTATAATTTCTCATGTTCTCATGAAGCTCAGAGAGGCTGGGTTACTTGCCCAGCCTTGACCTAAGAAGGGTCACACAGCTAATATAAGGCAGAGCTAGGAGGCCACTTGTCTTCAGATGTTGCACCGGCCTCTATTTCATCAGATCCTCCATCTCAGTTTCCTCTCCTGCTAGGGAGGTTTGAGCACATTCCTGCACTCAAGCCTCTCGGCCTCTGTGCCCCACTGGCCTGGTAGCAGTGGACAGCGAGGGTCACAAGGGTCTACAGTTAGTCTTCCTGGGTTCAAATCCCACTTTCCCCGTTACCAGCCAGGTGACCTGCTCTCGGGGCCCTGACCACATCCCTTGGGCCTTGCCCCTTCAATGTGCTCCCGCCAACCTCAGATCTCTTTGTTGGAGGATTTTTCTCTGAAGCCTCAGCCCCCAGCAGCCCTCAGCCTGGACTGTCCCTCAGTCCTGGGGTGATGCAACTACGAGGGCTGTGCTTGACACCATCCCCAGGGGCCCCAGTGGGGCTCAGTAGCTGGCTTGGCCACACCTCTCCTTCCCTGCCTCACTCTCTCATCCCCACCCGGGGTCTTCTGGATCTCCCAAGTAAACTCCTTGCACTCAAATCCTTGTCTCAGGGTCTCCCTGGGCAAACCCAAACTCAGACGGCTTCTCTGCACTCCATTTTCTCCACTGTAAAATTGAAGAAACAACAGCCCATTCCTTGTGGGGTTACCATGCAGATTTTTTAAAAAGATGGCGCAGGTGCTGGGTGCTAGGTGAGTGCCTGCCACTCGGCAGGGGCCCAGCGGGTGGTAGTGGGGCTCCCATGAGATGGCCGGTGTCTGGTGCCCAAGTGAGGAGGTCGGGAGCCGCAGGGAGAGAGGAAGTCGGTTCAAGTGTGCTCTCTTGCAGATGTGTGTGGTGGCGTCCTGACCAGCCTGTCGGGGGCCCTCACCAGCCCTGAGTACCCCAACAACTACCCCAACAACGTAGAATGCCGCTGGGTGATCCGGGCGGCCGGCCCTGCCACCATCAAGCTGGTGTTCGTGGACTTCCAGGTGGAGGGCAACGAAGAGTGCACCTATGACTACGTGGCTGTGCTTGGGGGGCCCGGCCCTGCCCGCGGGCACCACTACTGCGGCAGCGCCCGGCCCCCAACCCTTGTGTCACTGGGCCACGAGCTGCAGGTGGTCTTCAAGTCCGACTTTAACATTGGAGGCCGGGGCTTCAAGGCCTACTACTTCTCAGGTAGGAGGGGCTGCGGCTCCACTTGCCTCCTCATCACACTTCGGGGGTCAGCATTTCCGGCCCCCAAGGGCCTTGGGCTGTCTGCACTCTCCCTGCCTAGCCAGTGCCAAGGCATAAACATGTCACCTCCTCTGCGAAGGCTTCTTGATTCACTCAAAATTAATCCCTTCCTTCAACTCCTGGTAGAAGCCTTGTTCACACTGTGTTCTAACATCAACCATTTCTGAATGTGGTTTGCACGTTAACCTTCCCTGCCTGGCTGTGACTTCTTCACGGGCTTATCTTTGTGCCTGGTGCCTAGTAGGTCCTCGATTAATATTTGTACGAATGAATGAATGAACTCATGGGGAGTTCAAAGTCTAATGGGGAGATGGATGAGGAAACCAGTAAGGACAGCCCATTGCCATCTGTGCTGTCTAACAGTAAGAATCACGGTGACCACCTAGAGGAGGAGGGAATTGAGCAGTGCCTTGAAGGAGTTAGCCAGAGGCAGAAGGGAGGGCGGGTGTTCCAGGCAGGAGGAACAGCATGTGCAAGGCATGGAGGACAGAGCGTGTTTGGTGCGCTCACAGCACCAGGAGATGTTTGGAGAGGCGCGAGTGCAGGGGTGGATGGGGCAACCAAAACGGGGAGAGGCCAGGGCGTTCGAAGTCAGCTCTGAGGACGGTGTTAGGTATTATTATTGAATTCCTAACACTCTTGAAGGGAGTTGTCGATGAGATGAGGTTCCCAGCTCTCAGCTAGTGTCAGTTGAAAGCCAGCTTCGGGATCAGTGGTCTGGTGTGCTGGCCACAGCGCCCACCAACTGCCGGGCGGCTTTAGGGCTCCCGTAGCGGCCGTGGCTCAGCTGTCAATGCAGAGGGTGACTTCACCCTTCCGATCCTCCTCACCTGTGCTCCTTCCACCCCACCCTGCCCGCCCAGGAGAATGCCAGCAGGTGTACGTCGCCGTGCGGGGCAACTTCTCCAGCCCGCAGTACCCCAGCTCCTACCCCAACAACATCCGGTGCCACTGGGCCATCCGCCTGCCCCCCGGCTACCGGGTCAAGGTGTTCTTCCTAGACATGGACCTGGAGGAGCCCAACAGCCTGACCAGGACCTGTGACTTTGACCGCCTGGCGGCTTTTGATGGGGCCAGTGAGGAGGCACCCCTGCTGGGGCATTGGTGCGGCCACCACCTGCCGCCACCCGTCACCTCGAGCCACAACCAGCTCCTGCTCCTGCTGCACACGGACCGCAGCACCACGCGCAGGGGCTTCTCCGTGGCCTACATCGGAGGTCAGCCGGGGCTGAGGGCGAGGATGCGGGCGGGAGAGGGGAGGCTTTGCAGCCAGGGTTCACGGCCTCTTTCCTCCATTCCACCAGCTTGTCTTGACCCCAGGAATGGCTCCCCCCAGTGGCTACCCCTCTGCCAACTGCTGGGACCCTTGAGACCGTACCAGTATGGCCCTTGTTCATTTCCAGCTCCTAACTCTGTGAGTCCTGACTTTCCCATCAGGTTCCTTCCCCCGGGGCTCCTGCCCCCTGTTATACTGTGGCTGATCCCCTGTATCCAGGAGTAATAATCAAAACATGGTAATGTTAATTATGGTCAACAATTGGTATAACCGTGGAGGTGCCTCTCCAGCCCTGCTTGTGTCATTCAGAAATACTGATTGAACAAAGGGCATGGGGTCTCCTCACGTAATAAGTCTGGAGCCAGGCAGCTGCTGTGTGGGCTCAAAGAGTCAACACTCGTCCCAGTGATCTCTCTGAGATTCTCTGAGCCTCACAGTTCCACTATGGCTGCCACAGCTCCAGGCATCATGCTCATGTTCAAGGATGGAAGAGGGTAGAGGGAGTGCCAGCCACACATGTCGTCTTATGAGGAAAGCAAAAGCATTTCCAGAAGCCCTCACAAGACTTTGTCTTGTGTCTCATTGGTTTGGACTTGGTCTGACAGCCCTGCCTGGCTGCAGGGAAGCCTGGGGAAGTGGGTGTTTGGCTTTCCCAGCTCCATCGTGTTGGTTAGATTTGTCGGCCAAGAGTATCCGTCATCTCTCCCCTACTCCTGCCACCCTTCCCTGGGCTGTGGGCCCAAAGATGCCTGTGCTCCAACCCAGTGTGCTCTCTGCCTGGCAGGCAAAACTCCTCCTTGTGCACGTATGGAAACAGGTGCTGACAGGGGAAAGGATGTCACTGCAGTCACCAGGCAGTCGGTGGCACAGCCAGGACTAGAACCCACTCTCTTGCCTTCTTCTCCTGTGTCTGAACAGGACATACGGAGGGGGAGCCAGTGCTACGCTCGGACAGACGAGGGCCACATCCAAACCCTGCCATTTACTGACCACCCAAGTGTTCTTCTCTGTAAGAGGGGTTGATGAATGCCCTAGACAAGGTGGTCGTGAAGGTTAAATTAGGTGCCCACCTCTGAGAACATCATTCTCTCGGGAAGGGTGTCTTCGGCCTGTTCAGCATTCAAAAGCTCTCTCCTCTTTCCTTACTCACGTGCAAGGGGAGTTGGGGGGCCCTGGTAATGGTGGAGATGTGAGGCTACAGCAAGCTAGTGGCAGGGGGTTGGCCTCAGGCAGCCCCCGCCCCTCTGGGCCTCAGTGGGTCCACCTGTGGGCTGGAGCCTCTTCTCTGAGTCTGTATCGCGGGCGAGAGAGCACTCAGGGCAAGAGAGAGACAGGCTCCATTGGGGCTCTGCCACAGCTAGCTGGCCCTTTCTCTCTCCGGGTCTCAGTTTCTCCCCCTGTAAAATGAGGACATTGACTGAAGGAGCTCGAAAGTCCCTTTTGGCTCTGATAGTCTTATTTCCAGGACTCTCCCAGGTCCTCTCCCGACTCTCCGTGGTTTAGGACCAGCCCCTTCTGCAGAGACTGAGTGAACGTAGGGCGGAAATCCAGTGCAGGAGCCCCCGCGCCCTCCACACCCACCTCCCTCCCTGACCCTGTGGGAGCCCAGGGTCAGATGGGGCACTGGGCTGGGCGAGGCTCCGGATGCGGCCCAGGCTGCAGGAGGCCTCCCTGCTGGAAGGGCAGCCACAGCTTCAGTCAGGGGTGACACACAGTTCAGCGCCACCGAGATCATCGCGGGAGACGGCGGGCCCATAAATCCCTGACTGCCAGACACCAGAGGCTGAAACACGTCTGAGGCATTTCCCGGAGAGGAGTCGAGAGTTCCAGGCCTCTGCCTGCCAGCTCTCTCTCCTTTTCCTCCCCCCAGCCACCCGCCTTCCCTCCCCCTGCGCTCACCCCTGCCCTCCAGGCACACACATGGCACACACACATGCACACACACACATGCACACACACACATGCACACACACACATGCACACACACACACATGCACACGTGCACACACTCGCCCAGACCCAAACACTCAGAGTCACACTCACCGTGCTGGCCTGGGGGCAGTGCAGGGGGCTGTCAAATAGGGCGGAGAGATCTCTGACTTTGGAATCCTGGGGACCCAGGGGTAAGATCCTAGCTCAGCCACTGTAAACAACTCCACCTCTCAGAGCTTCAGTTTCCAAAACTGTAAAATGAGTTGAGACCCGTCTGCCCCACAGAGTCATGGTGAGGAGGGAAAATGAGGCTCCCCTCACCCTCCCCACTCCCTGTCTCTCCTCCTTCCTTGATTTTCCTGCCCAGCACTCTGACACTTACGTGCCTGTTGCATATTTACTGCCCCCTCCCCCAACTCCAATGTAAGCTTTACAAGGGCAAGAATTTTGGGCTGGTTTTTTATTTTTTTTTTCATTTCTGAAACTGCAGCGCTTAGAATAGCACCTGTGCATAGTAAGCCATCAGTAGATGTTTGCTAAATGATTCAATGAATGAGCGAATGAATCGCCTGGCATTTGGCAAAGCAATAAGCAAATAGTAGCTTTTATTGTGATTGAGAACATTCATTCATTCATTCAGCATTCATTCATTCATTCATTCAGCATTCATTCATTCATTCATTCAGCATTCATTCATTCATTCATTCAGCATTCACTGGGCCTGCCAAGCTCTGTGCTGGGCTCAGGGGACACTGAGGGAACCAGGCATGGGGCCTGCCCCCAGAGTTCGCAGTCGGATGGAGTTATGTGGAGTAGCACGAACTAGATATTCAGATATCCAGCACTGCCTGGAGGACTTCGTGAGAGCCGTCCCCACTCTGGTCCTCGGTTTCCCAGCCCCCCACCCTTTACAGGGGAGGGGGTGGGGCAGGGAGGTGGGAGTCAGACTGCCTGCCCGAGGCCTCTAGCCCTGCCCCTCCCGTTCCCAGTGGTGCCCGTGAACGTGAGCTGCTCCCGCACGGACTTCCAGATCCTGATCTCTGCGCAGGCGCTGGCCCCGTTGGAGAGGACCAAGGTCTACCTGGGCAGCCGGAGCTGTGCCGCCCAGGAAGTCGGCAGCAACTTCAGGATCCAGGCCCGCTTTGACACCTGCGGCACTGAATCCCAGGTAGGGGGTCAGGGGGAGGGGCAGGCACCAGGGAGGGGCTCTGAACCCTGCTGAAGGGCACCAGTCATTCCCAGGAATTCAGCCTCTCCTGGCTCTGGTGAGCACGCCAGCCTGGAGGCAGAGCTCAGCCCTCCTTGTCGTATTTACCTCCACAAGCTTGTTCAGCATAGAGGTGGTGAAGAACTCAAATAGGGGAGACAGAGGACAGGTCCCCTTGCGTATCCCAGGGACAACCTGACGCCTCCACTGGCCGCTCCTCCAGGAGTGGCTGGCCCACACATACATATAGGGGAACAGGGTCAGCCCAAGCCCCTCCTGGTGTGAGCGAGTGTCCTGTGATCCCGCAGAGAAGAAACAACACGTCTGTGATCGTGAGCGTGCTGTACATCGACTTCTCTGCTGCGGGGCAGGACGACATCCATGAATACGAGGTCCGCTGCGAGCCCCGGCGCAAGGAGGCTTCTGTCCACCTGCTGTCTGGCTCCGACTGGCTCGGGCCCTATGCTGCCACTGCTGAGCACCTTCAGGAAGCACCACCCAGGGACGAGGAGGAGGCACTGGATGGCCCGGTGACCATGGTGGCCCAAGATACCAGTGACATTGTCTTCCTGGGCCTTTGCATCCTGGCTGGAGTCCTCATGGTCATTGCCATCGTGGTCCTGATGCTGCTGTGAGCAGGCAGGATAGGGACCTGTCAACTGGCATCCCTGCAAGGCAGCTTAGGGACCCACAATGGAGGTGGGACAGGGCCTTGCTAACTTGCTGCTGACCATAGGCAAGTTGTGTCCTTCTCTGAGCTTTGGTTTCCTAGGGACAACCTCTCTGCCCAGCCACCTGACAGGGCTGGCTTGAAGCTCAGGGAAGAGCATAAGTGGAGCAGGGCTCTGTACACTGTAGCATGCCATGTATGTGTGTTGGCTGTTGTTATTATTACTCTTAAAGATATTCTGCTACAGGAAAGAACTCTCCAGTGAGTGTAACTTGTTGGTTTGGATAGCTGTGGGCACTGGTGGCACAGTGTGGATAAAACTGACTCATTCTGTAACGTGTATGAGTGCCTCACCAACCCAAGGCACAAATAATAGCTCTGCTTATTTTCCTAATTAATTGTTCATCCTGAGCCTTCACTAGCAGGAAGTCCAGTATCCATCCAGAGGCCTTTAGCCTAAATCGACTTTGTCTAAAGCAAGCCAGCTCTGCCCTAAACTCCAGGAGTAGAGAAAGGGAGCTGCAGCCCTGTCTAGTGCTGTCATTTCAGCCCCTGCCACACGGTGTCACTGTTGAAGACCGGGCCTGCGCACCCTGGTGGGGGCTTGTCCCCTGAGGTGGCGGCGCCCTACTGGGTCATATCCCCAAATCAATCAAGGTAGGCCCACACTGTGCTTGTGGTGAGGCTGAGGCTAAAGAGTTGGTGTTTCTCTTTCATGTTGGAGTTTTTCCTTCTGTGTCTTTTGATCCTTGACTGAAAAGCCGATTGAAGCCCCATGTATCTCTGTCCTTGCCTCTGATGTCGAGCCCGTCCTTGCCCTCCAGAGGAGTTCTTTTTGGAGCCCTCTGTACCTTCTCCTGCCTTTGGACTTCACTCGGAGATACTCCAGTCTACTTAGGGCTACTCCAGTCCACTCTTCTGAGTTCACATCACAGGGAGCCGGGGCTGGGCTCCCAACCCTTCCCTGTGAGAAGACCTCTGAGATCATTATGCAAATCAGTCCGCCCTTCTCAGAGCTCTACTTGGTACTTGAGCAGTGGCACACTCTTGTTAATGAAAAATAAACAAAAAATACAGTTATAATACACCACTTTCCTTTCTATTTGCATAACTGTCACTTGAGTAAGGCCATCCACAGTAATGGAAATCTCCAAATTGACCATGTTGACCGCCAGTACCAATTATAATTTATTCAACAACCCAACACGCATCCACTGGTTTCCAGAGTCTGTGTCTGTTGCTGTGGCAGGCTCCAGGCATACAGCAGTACACAAGTCAAATGAGACGCCTGCCTTCAAGATGTTTACGGTGTGGTCAGGCAGCATTGGGAAGGGAGAGCACAAATGAGTTGGTAACTTGAGGACAAAAATGACAGAGAAAAGAACCAACAAAGCAAGAAATGAATTAAGCGAGGGGAAAAGGGTTGCCTGGACATTAGAAATTGAACTGGGTTCAAGTCCAAGCTCTTTCACTTGTTAATTGTGTGAGCCTGGGCAAGTCACTGATTCTATGAGCCTTGGTTTTTCCATTTGCAAAATGGCACCACAGTTCCTGTCTTTCTGTGAGGATGTAGCAAGGTAATGGCTTAGGAAAGTCTGTCAGGATAGGTGTACTGGCAGGAGAGAGTCCTGAATCTACCCTGGGGTGTTTGGAGCTGAGGCCCCTTCCTCTTTCTCTTCTACCCACCTTCTCGCTCTCACTAGCCTGCTTTGGGAACATCTCACAATCTCCCTGGGTCTTAGTTTCCCTGTCTGGGGAGGACTGGACATATACTTGATACTCTCTGGGGGTGCCCCGGGGATCTGCCCTCCAGCACCATGGACTGGAAGTGGGACCTGGGGCAGGTGGATGCAAGCTGGGTGCTGCTAGTGGGACCTGGGGCAGGTGGATGCAAGCTGGGCCTTGCCCTGTCAGTTCATCAGGGTGGGGAGACAACAGGACAGCCTGTGCCAAGCCTAATTCTCAAAGCTGTTGCGTGACTTGTGGTGTGTGTGTAAGTGCACATGTGGTGCACGTGTGCATAAGCACATGCATGTGGGAAAGCTGGGGCTCAACCTCTCCTCCCCAAAGCTGATCTTTAAGGGCCACTGCACAGAGCTCCAGCTCTGTATCCAGACCACCTAGGTTCAAACAAAGGCTCCACCCCTTCCTAGCTGTGTGACTTTAGGCAAGTCACTTTGCCTTTGTAAGCTCAGCCTTCTCACCTGCAAAGTAAGGGTGATAGTGATGGTTGCTTTATTGGTGCATTGTGAGAATTAAATGAGATAGTGTGTGGCGATGCCCAGAACACAGGAAGGACTCAGTAAAAGTACCGTGGACCTCTGAGGTGATGGAAAAGCTCTGACCTAGAAACTCAAGTTCTAGGCCCAGCTTTGCCATTGATGTGCTGTGTGACCTTGGAGGAGCCCATTCCCTTCTCTGTCTTTAATTTCCTTATTGGCAAAATGTGACAAGCATCATTACCACCTCCACCACTGTCATTATCATAGCTACCAACCACCTCCTAAGTACTGACCATTTAAAATATGTCATTGTACTTAAGTCATCTTGCAAGGGAGGCATAACTGCCCCCATTTTACAGTGGAGGAAACTGAGGCTGTGGGAGGGAAAGTGCCATGCCCAAGGTCACATGGCTGTGAAATGCTGAAGCTAGGCTGAGAGGAGACAGTTCTTCCCTGAGCTGGGGGGATCGTGCAGTGAGCTGTGGCCTCTTGGGATCCCAAGCCAGTGCCCTCAAACTCGAGGGCTGTGTCTGGCTGGGAGAGGATGGGAATGGCAGAGGATGAGAGGACGGTTTTATCTGCACGGACGTGCCCAGATACTGCCATTCCCAGCCCTCCAGGCAGCTGGCGTGTTGATTATCTGCGTGAGCCGCGGGAAATGACAGTCTTTATGACAGCACAGTGTCTATTAGAAATGAAAGGGCTGAAATGACACCCATTAGACAACACGCCCCGGCCCGGGAAGAGTGGCCGGCGTGGTGCGCACAGCACAGCTCACCAGCTCACCTGCTAATTTCCCCTTTTCAGAGTGCGGGGGGCTGTGGGAAGAGCCACGCCCAAACCCAGGCTCCCTCCCCATAGACTGCGTGACCTTAGGACATGCCTAACCCAGATGGGAGCTTTGGGTCCTGCTGCCACCCTTTGCTGTCCCATAGGGTGATGTCACTGATGTGGGGTTCCTGACAAACAGATGAGCTGGTCTTGGGAATGTACCCTCTGGGCTGTAGGCCAGGTAGACCTGGGTCCATTTCCAGTTCTTTCCCTGGCTCTGTGTGACCTTGCACAGGTTGCTCAGCCTCTCTGAGCGTCAGTTTCCTCATGTGTGGAAGGGGGCAGAAGATTAGTGTGAGGATTGGGAGAACAAGAGAAGAGCGCCTACTCGATGCTTACACCTGGATGGATTCAGGAAGTGGTAGGCTGTCGGCCCTGGCCCAGGCAAGGGCTTCCCTGAGGAGTCATCAAATCTCAGAGTTGCCAGGGGCCTCCCAAGAAAGCAAGTCCCGGCCCATCTCATGCAGGTCACCCCTTTACTCAGTCTGCCCCAGCCTCCCAGCTTCCTTGCCCTTCAATAGCTTTTCTCACCCTCAGTCCTTCGCATGCAGTGTCCTTCCTCCAGAGCATCCGGACCCGGTCCCTTCGCATCCTGCCCTGCTCAAAGGTTCCGACCACGCATGTAAAATAGCAGCCCTGGCACTAGGCACCCACGTCCTTGCTTTATTTCCTTCATCGCATGCATCACCGTCTGAAATGACATTTGACGTGTCTTTGCTTTTGCTGGTTCATGCTGGACCCCTCGCTGCAACACCTGCTCCAGCAAGGCACTCTCAGTCTTGGTCCCCCGCCCCAGCTGCCACACGACGCACTTCATGAGGTTTGCGGCTGAATGCATGAATGGGTGGATGGGTTCGATTTGATTCAATTCATTTCATACTACGTGTGTGGGGCTCTAATCCTCACAATCACCCCACTTCGCAGGTGAGATGGCTGAGGCTCAGCGAGACTGCGGGGCTTCCTGGAGGCCACCCAACTGGACTGTGGTGGAGTAAGTGATGCAGTGGGGACTTTTGCCTAGGTCCTTCTGGGGTGCTTCCCATGAGACCATGTGGGCTCTCCTGATGCCCACCACCAACAGAAGGGCACTTCAGGGGTATTTGTTCATGCATTTGGGCGCCAGGTCCTAAGCCCAGTGGATGCTGGGTAGACAGTGGCATATACGAGTGGTTTGGGGAGACCCACCCGTAAACCAACGGTGACACGAAGCAAATGAGTGCAGTGGGCAAAAGAGAAGCCCCAACACTGCCTGGGAGCAGGGAAGTCTGCCTGGAAGAGGTGATGCCTGGGCAGGGTCCTGAAAGAGACACTGAACAGGAGAAAAGAGAGAGGGAAGGGGAGGAAGGGCATTTCAGACAGGGGGTGGCTGGAAGTGGAAATCTGGGGGGCTTGAGGGAACGCTGGGTCCACCAGGTGGCTGCAGTGCAGAGTGGGAAGGAGAGAGTGGAGGCGACATGGCTGGACAGGCAGGAGGGGCAGGGGGCTGGCAGGAGAAAGACCTCCCATGCAGCAGGGCCAAGGCCTGGGGGATCTCGGATGGCCGTGCCAGCTCTTGGTCCCCACTTGGTACTCCCAGCCCCCTAGGGTATAAGGGGCTCCCCAAGTCATAAATCTATAGACAGGCTTTGTAGCTGACACCCCAGAGAGAAGGTGATTGGCCTAAGATTGCCCAGAGGAGCCACACTCACACCCAGGTCACCTGGCTCCAAGGGACACCCTGTCCCCGTGGCTATCTCACTGCCCTTTCTCCTTCCTAGGGGGTGAGTTTCTGCCTGATCACCGTGGGGGACAACCAGGGCCCCCAACCCTTGAGATTCCTCCGGCAACTCTGTTGACCGGGCTCCACCCACATCACCTGGGCAAAGGTGTTTCCCTGTCCTTGATCAAACACAAACAAACCCTAAACAGAAAGTGCCCCACAGGTAAACGCAGGTAAACACAGCCCAAACCTGTGTGGTGTACACACCTTCTGCCTCACATCCAAAAGAGGGAAGGAAGCTCTTTGAATAAAAGCTCCCCTCTACAGGCGCCCAGCAATTT